TCTAGTCCATGTAAAACGTTTTTATTCATTGGCTTAATTCATTATAATTTCATTTGAGACTGGATTTGATTTACATCAAGTTATTATGTCAAGAGTTAATTCAAAATTAAATGTTTTCTCTCATGATCGCTAACCAAAATGGCTCAAAGTCAGAGAGCATTCCGGAGAATAATTCTAGATAATCTTACAGAAATCCATGTCACTGTCATTTCATGATTCATGATGAGATTTTTTATGTTTGTGTGCTTTCTCAGCATAGAATAAAAAAGGCTCCTGGCGTGCCAGCTAGTGTTCACATCATTGTTTCTGTTGACAGCAGTTAACAAAAACATTTTGATCAATAATAAAACCATCACCTCATCTCTTTTCCTGTTTTCTTCCTCAATAACATACAGTATATACAAAATTAGAAATTATACGATAAACATGTTTATGCATCAGAGAGATCAAGTAATGGCTTTCATTGGTACATACTGTACAAGTTTGGTATCAAATTGTATAAAGACTACACATCCTGGTCTGTTTGGCTTCATTCATTTTTTATAACCATTTGTAAATTCCATGTTACCAGAAATGCAAAACATAACCAATAAAAAAAGTTTTTGATTTCATCCCAGAAAGTCATGGTGGCCTTATGAATCAAAACAGAAAATGACATTGCACTCTCAGGCTGCAAGAAAAAAAAAATTATAGCACAGCTTTTCAGTTTCTTTACAAATAAACTGTTCTGCTCAATAGACAATTATTATCGTCTCAGTGCTTCATCTTCAGGCTTAGAAAACTAAGCTGAGTCTGCAGACTTTAAAGAGGAGTGAAGATGCTGCTTGATTGAAACAATAAGCTGCTGCAAAATCAAAGCTAATCACATGAGGTGCTTGCCTCTTGATTGTCTCTGACAGCGGAGCTCCGTGTGCACTGCTTGGTAGTAGGGGTCACACAGGCGGATGTCAAACCCTGACTTTTCCACAAGAGATGATTCATTTTTCTCTGCAGATTTCATCCTGCATGTCCCCAGTGCTCAGAGCTGTGCTGACAGAGTGGGACTGTGAACTGGATTTCTTTTTATTGGTAATGTTTCTGTTGTTAACCACTAAGCGGTGAAAACCCTTGCTTGAGAAAAGAAGACAAAAAAGTATTTTTCTTGTGTTACACAAAATGAGAGTAGTTTCACTCATTATTCGATAATGTGAAAATAATATTTTTCACTTCATCATATCTGCATTGTGTGAATTAAACTAATTGTAATGCTTAAATATATTTAATTTATTTTGTGAATGAAAAACTGATTCTTGATTTGAGGTAATTCTATTGAATTAATTTCAATTTTTTTATGTGGATTGACTTTTTATGGTGAGTGGGAGGTCTTAGAGAGTGACTCATACAATCGTATGTCATGCATTGTGCTGTATATTAAACACGTTTTATGCAAAGTACAATCATGTCTAAACCAAATAATTTTTCACAATAAATAATATATACTTGGAAGTATAGTCCTCCATATTCAATAACTAATGTTTGATAAAAAAAACATTATAAATCTCATGTCCCTAAAGACTAAATCAGATATGAGAAACATATTAATTAGAATAACATTAATAAAATCGATACCTTTAATAACAATAATATAAAAAACATTCAGTACACCATGTATTATTATTATTATTATTGATGTTGTTGTAATAATAATTAGTTTGGGGAACATACAAGAATTGAAAAAAGATCCTTGTTCTACTCATAGAGGAGCAATCTGTTCCCGTAGCCGAGCTGCTTACTGCCACAAAATAACAATGTAAACCACCATTGAGAAAATTTGAAGATAAAAAATAAATGGTTTCTGAAATGAATGTGGTATAGTTTTTTACACTATAGATACTACATAACCAGGATATTTTCTACAAGAATAATTATCTCAGTGAGGTTCTCAATTCGGGAAACTGAGAAAAGGCACGCAAATACGCTGACATTCTTAAGTTCCATTAATGTTATATGCCACACAGTATCATTTGTTCAAAATGTCATCTTTTATCTTTTTACTTTTTATTTGTATCTGTAAACCAAAGATGTTGTGATTTGACTTGCATCAGTCTTGAAAAAACTTTGAACATTGTTTTGTCTATTTTTTCGAGTTTTTTTGAGAACTTATTTTAGATGTTTTCTGCATATTTCAATCTAACACAATTTCAATCTTACTCCTACTGTATGTTTTTAATGCAGTTTCTGTATATTGTATATTCTTCTACATCTACGAACAGCAGCCCGTGTGTTTTTCTTAATCTTGCTTCACACAAAACTTTGAAGATCATAGCAGCCAATAGTAATAGCAACTGGGGAGAGCACTTTTCAAGACTGAATTCAGGTTTAAGAAAATATTTTTTAATCACTTTACAATTTGCATCAACCAATTTTGACAATAATACATATAAGAGTATTATATGAAAAACCAGATTTATCCTTTCCACAAACATGTGTCACACTTATACTAAATACAAGATGGGGTATGACTCATATTTTTATTTGTATTTGGTGCAAATATATCTCTACAACAAAAAATCTTTTGATATGTATTTGTACAAAGGAGGGGTCTGCATAATTAAACATTTCCAAAATTTGATTACTACGAATAATTAACTCATATGACCTAACTGTGTATTGATATTAATATTTTAAACCAACTTGAACTATTTGTCAAGTGTTAACATGAGCATATTTAGAAAAGGTCTTCATTAAGCTTTCCCTGAGTGGCGTGCCTGACATATAATTTAGTTTGAGGATTTGTAAACTACTGAAGTACATGCTCATTCTTTTCTATTGCCATACAGTACAGTTCATTTCAAATTCCATGTGGTTAATTATCGCAATGTTCTATAATAGGCAGAGCACTCACAGCCATAGAGTGAAAAGCTCTTGTTAAACTGATGATCTGTCACTTTGATGATTCAAAGTGCAGTCTGTTCCTATGGGTTTAACTGGAAAGACTTTTTAGTGTCTAGGAAACAATTCAACTGGATAAATAAAGAAGATACATACTCCTTATGTTTGGTAAAACCAGGAAGAACAGAGCATTTTCAAGAAATCCATGTTATCATTCTATTCTGTTTCAAGAGCTCCCATCTTAGTCGGCATGTATTTTTATCTCTACGGAAACATTCCATCAAACCTCTGTAGATGAAGGAATATCATACATTCAGAATGACATGATTACGTCTGATGTCATAGTTCACATAAAACAGAGCTGTAAGCAAAGATTAAAAAACAAAGCAATGAACAGAGTGTTCAATGTGATTCCCAAATGTCTTTACTTAGATGCTGGGAGTGACAAGGAGAACTGAGAATCGTGTAATACATTTTCCACTGACAGCTATTTCCAGTAATTACTATAATCAGTTATCCTTAAAGTGGCCACACTTAATCTATCAAGTATCCTATCAGTTTCTGTGAACCCTTACCCTAAAATGTGCTACAAGTCATTTTTCTGCACATGGCGTATAGACCATGACTAACTCCAGCAACCCATGGCTGTCCCAGTTTGTGCTCACAAAGTACAGTATTACTGCCTAAATTCTAATGAGAAATGCCAAGGTACTGTATACTATAGGTCTCCATTTGAATTTTTGCTTCATTTTCAAATTGATTCTGAATTTAAAATGTCAAAGATCAACTAATACTTTTTCCAATTATTCTATATGTTTTCTGAGCACATGAAAGTTGCTGTTCAAGGAAAACAAGATGAAAATTAAATCAGAAACCATCCACCTTTTGTGCTTTTGACATCACACCAAGAGTCTACATCATAGCCATGCAGTAGCTTAAGCAAATATGGTAAACCTATTGGAACCTACAATGAGGGGATTAGTCTAAAGAATTAATTAGAATGTTGTGAAGTGGGAGATGAGAGGTGTGATGAGTCCGATATGAAGCAAATAGGCTCCAGAGGAAACATATTTGAGCCCAACAAGAGGATAACCTTTTGAGAGGTATCCACCATAATGTTGTGATAAAGTATACTATCTCTAATAAATAACGTTATTTTTGTAAGCTTTTATATTGTTGGGTGGTGGGGGTTAGTGGCGTTTACTAGTAAAACCAAATAACCTCTTTGGAAAAATGCATCTTGTGAGTTTTCTTTGTTTTGCTATTTCCATCGATACTTTTTAAAAATTAAAATTTTAAAACCCCTTCAAGACTTTAATTGGTTATATTAGAATTAATAGATTGAATTTTCATATGCAGATGTCATAGAAAACTGATCATAATTTATTTTGTGAAAATGCATCCAGTACATAGTAATACATTGTGTTTTATTGTTTGAGATGTTTTACCAATTGTATTAGTTCTTCCTTAACTGAAGGAAATACTGCACTAGATTATTTAATAGTTGAAGACTGTATGGAACTAAGACCAGTGCCAGTGGCAAACTTTGACATTCTTCTATGAGAGCTTTATTTTGTCTTTTATATTTGTTGGCATTAGAAAATTGTAACTGACAAGATACGCAAGCAAAATGTTATCTTAGAATTCAGATAGAATTTTGTTTTTCTATGAATGTATTTGTATTTGTTAATCGAAGGCCCAACCAAAAACTGTGATCTTTAGTTTAATTCTATTCTATCTTTTTTTTATTCCATTGTTCTGCCAGGTAACACTATTGAGAACAAATTCTTATTTACCATAACAACTGGGATATCTGGTTATACAACAGGGCATGAGCTGGAGCTCTAGAGTACAGCAACAGCATTAAATCCCTGAACCTTGAGACCAGAGTCCAACAGAGTCCAAAGAAGTTAACCAAAACTTCACACCATTACCTCCTTTTCATTAAAGTAACTTAGAGAAGAAAATATGGAACACTTAATTTTCCATGAAAGGAAATAGACTTTTGCTCTTTGAATTTCAGTTATCGTGCAACAGGAAACATTATCATTATGTGCCATCATACTGTACAACATTAAATCATTAATGTTACCACAAGAGGTATGTTGAGCATCAAAAGTAGAGCTTACCTGTTTGACCTCCTCATCCTCTGAGCACTCGCTTCGTTCATCCTCCTCTGGAAACTCCACATCTGACTCCCCGGGAGCAATAGGAACATTGATAGTCAAATTGGGATTAGTCATGTAGCTGTCGCCATCAGAGATTACATACTTTTCTCCATTTCGACCTATGATTCCCATGGTTCCATTCCCTTCTATGTGGTTCCCAAGACGTTGCAACTTTGTCATGGCCTTCGCTTCTTTTGCTTTCTGCCGCCTTTTCTTGAAGTTTCCATTGAAGAAGTCACAGATGGCTATCTTCAGCCAGTTAATACCACGCTGGATGCGGGCAATGGCTATCTGAAGGTTGTTCATCTCACCATCATCATCCGGTGCTGATAAGTTGTCTGCACTGAAGGAGCTCAGCAATAAAGCAAGGAAGAGATTCAGCACCTATGGAAAGAGGCATGAGGAAACAATATTACATGTTCTTGAACACGTCCTCGGGTTGGGTTGTTTACCTCCTAAATTAAGGATCCCCCTTTCCAAAGAAGCTTTCAATCACTGAATAAAATGTTTAATTTTGAATCCACCATACCACTGCAACCCCCCTCATGCAGGAAAGTCAAAGATAGTGTTTATCTCTGTCTCTCTTTAGGGATAGAACTTCTCTTCAACTGCAAAACCGATTCAACAGATTTGGGAGAATAAAATCAGCTCATGTTGCTTATGTTGTGATGCAAAGAGGAATATTCCTTTCCTAGGTTACGGGAACTCCAATGCCAGTTCCTAACAGCTCCTGTCCATTTTTCAAAAAACAAGAGTCAAGTCAGTCATCCCCTCGCTGCACAGCTTACCTGTCACATCAAGTAACATGTTGGTTCTGCACTAGTATCCTCGTATGTGTACGAGGCAGTATGGCACATACCATAAACAATCTGCGTGAGTATAACATTTTTAATTTTGCCATAGCAAAGATACAGTATATATATATACAGTATAGGCATGCAGCACTTTCAAGGTGAATTTGGGAATATCAGCAGGTCCTTTGCGTAACATAATGTCTCTATACGCCTCTTGATAGGTAATTCATATTTGAAAGCTCAGTTTCTGTGAGAAATTCCAACTGTCAATGTCTCCTTTTTCAGCACCTATTACAGACATCCTGACAGAGACCCACTGACACACAGGCTCAAGAATGTAAACAACAGGTGTGATCTGGACTTGGTTTCAAAAGCCACATTTCCTGTCTCTCTAAAAAAGGAGCGCTACATGCTCCAGCGAACAGCCAAGTATGTTTACAGCTTCTTTTGTGTCTCCAATGGCCTTTCAGCAAGTCAAGTGGTGCATGTGTGTGTGTATGTAACCTGAAGTGGTGAACTAAAGGAGTTACACTTGTGCATAGTAACTGCATTAAGGATGATGAAAGATAATTACCTTTTCTGGATTTTGCTGCCCTTGCAGCTTGTCTTATGTCTATGTTTGGAGAGCTTGTGAGAGCATACTTTAAAAGAATACTATTGCTCGCAGACTAGAGTGTTTAAATATCAAAATTGCGAAAAGGCAAATCAAATGAATGCAACATGAAAACCGTACTAATTTATAGTCTTTTTAAACCCATAAACATAAAGAATTATTGTATGCTTTCTGAAGACGCAGCTGAAAAAAATATTCTGCATCACTGTAAGCGCACACACTGTAAAAGTATTGCTGCATTGAGGTTCTGTCTATAATCCAAGTATTATCTGAAATAATACTATAAGTTATTGCTTGTTACCAGCGACACATATACAGTAAAATAAATGATAAAATGGGTTAAATTTTATCCCCAGTAATCTAGTTCTTAGTTCTTTTAAACAAAGGTGGGATATGACAAATTATGAAGTAATTGTACTACTGTCTGAATATGCACAGTTACAGAGGCAAACAGACAAGTCAGAAATACTCAGTACAAAAAACTGAATAAGAAAAAAATGGCCACAGCAGGAGTGATTCTTGTAAATCAGTTCCACAAGCCTCACAATTAAGAAACAAGATTTTTTAACATTGCATAATGTCTTTATGTCCCATTTATATTAGAATAAGTTAAATTCAGTAGTCTCAGTTCAATCCAATAGTCTTCTTCTAGCTCACTTCTTGACATTAGGAATTGTTTTGACTGCCCATCTTGTATATTAACTTTCATATCATAGCATAACCAGCTCAGCGTCCCGACAAAAAAACAACAGTGGCTTTATAGCTCAAATCTATTTCGTTTAATCCTGACCCATTTTAATATCTGCAAGATACCGTCTTTTATGAAACTGCTTTTCCTGTAATGGAGGAGCAGATGTGAATACCAGATTCCCTGCAGAATGTGCTTGCTTGAATCTTAAACAGTAAATGAGATGCATAATCAAAGGTTATTTGCAGGGACATTTTCAAGAACAGTCTGCATAGGAAATCAGCAAAAATAGTTTCACTGTTCAGATTGTTCAGATTGCAGCAACACAAAACACGCCATAGTTACCCTCATTATCTGTTAAAAGTGTATTTGATTTATTAATATCGTGTTGTTCGCACCAGATTTTGCCAATAAAGTAAAACAATCTATAAGAAATCGACAACAAATGTAAAATACTCAAACTGGATTAAACCTATTAAAATGACTGTATTAAAAGCTGATTATTGTTAATCTAGGTTTATAAATGATGATAGAAGGAGCATTCGTTTGACATTTCATTTGTTCCTCCCTCATTAATTAATTTTGATTTATTTAGGAAGCATAAATATTCAGATATTTAAATATTAGAATTTTTGGGCTGTTCCTGAACTTCAATCAAACAGGATCACCCTTTATATTCAAATTTGATCTTTCATGATGTATGGTTGTACTGATATAGAAGTCATTCTTTGAAGAGGTATAATTAAAAATATGGGCAGACATTTTACAAAAGACATTTAATTAAAGTTCTTATTCCTAATGGAAAATAAACACAGCAGCTAGATCAAATATCTGTAGGCTGAATCTGTTGCTATAGTACCGTATTGTTTTGATCACCTATGCTACTCATTTTATTTCTGGGCTCTCATGTAGCTGAGTCTAATCATGTGTCCAATTGTAAGCTTAGCTGTGCCAGGGGATCACCTGCAGAGTATGCCAATATTAGAAATATGGAACTTGCATGTTTACATAATACGGATTTCAAAAGTACTGATGGGGAATACAGCCACTGAATTGAATTTAAGCTCCATACAGAAGCTGCTTTTACAAAAGCTCTGTAAATGTTTTGTTTTACTGGGCTGGAAAGCAGAGTATCTGGCCACCTAGAATTGTTTAAATCTGGGATATCAAAATGAATTATGGGCAGTTCATTTTATTCCTGATACATATTCACAGATTTAAAGTTTGTTATACTTTCCTTAAAGCTGAAGAAATCTCTTTAAACTAGCAGCTGCTTACCAGAGTCTCTCTTTAGCACTTTTCAATTTCATTTTTTCTTGTTGGCATAGCTCAGGCTAGATTGATTAAAAAAGAATTGCCTTTGCTGAAGCATCTCTTTCTACATACTGTAATGCACACAATTTTTTTTTCTTTTTCAGAAATGCCCTATTTGAGAAGAGGTTAATAAAAACAAACTTAATAGCTTGTGAATCATATTTATTTAACATAGACTGCAATATGAAAGTAAAATCAACAACACTTAAAGGCATCTGCCATACCCTCATTCTCCCATAGTCCTGAAGTATTATGAGCTTACTAAAGTTTTCTTTTATTATTATTGTTTGGGTAAATGCTTAGCAACCATTGATGCCAGAGCTAGACCTACAGGCAAAACACTTGAGAAAATAAGAACTGCCAGACCAGCACAGCACAGGATGAGTGCCTGAGATGGAAGTCCCCGGGGGATACAGTAAAGAGGAGCTTTCACTAATGAAGCAGAGGGATTCAACACTGACTCGAAATCCGTGAGGCTGAACAACTGACCTTGTTAGCTTTTCTGCCAGAATCCACTCAGATTAAGCACTCAAAATCCATTATATGCCTCACAGACATTTTAATATCATTCAAATAAAAGTTTCACTTATTGTTCTTACCAGAATATGTTTCAATGTGCACAGTAAACTTTATTTTTTCCTCACAAAAAACCTTACCATGAAATGTCTCTAAAAGCAAATTTTAGTGTCATAGTCAATTTAAATACAAATTGCTCCACCTTATAATTTGGCTACCTTTTGATTTATGATTGTCTACTTCCCTTTAAAGATGTGATGAGAATCATAAAACAATGTCTTTTTCTCAACTGGGAGATAACAAAACTTGCTGACTAAGGATTTTCCTATCACAAAAGAGAATATCAAGCCCAGCAGCTGCTGATTTGTCTAGACATTTAGCTAAGTAGTGTATGGAAGAACTAGGTCGATAATATATGTAGTTATTTTTGTAAAAATTAAATGTACTCCTACTTTAAACTTTAAAAGCAGAAAGCTCCACTTGAGACTAAAACAAATTCACTTCTTCTAAAAGTTCTAAAAATGTGCCCCGGACAGCTACAAATATTCAAACTTTCTGGGATCTGTTTCTTTCAAAATTTACCATCTTATGTGCATGATTAAACATCATCATGCCAAAATGTTAACCAGAGAACATGTGATGTTAAACCTTTTCTGAATGGTGATTCACATTTTTATTATAATAATAAACTTTATTTTATATAGCGCCTTTAAAGGTGTCTTCGAAAAGTGCTTTACAGAATAACAGCAGCAACACCAATGATTAAAAATAAACAATAAAAAATACACAAGATAAACACGATGAGAATACGCAGAGGAGACAGTAGATGGTGGTACTAAATGCAGTAGGAGCAGAGGGGTAAAGAATGGAACCAGTTTAGTAAAGGCTCTTCTAAACAAGAAGGTTTTGGGTCTGGATTTGAAGGAGTTTAGAGAAGGTGAGTCTCTGATATCCTTGGGGAGAGAGTTCCCAGAGCATAGGGGCATTTTTGGCTCTTCTAAGTTTGGACGTTGAACACCCATATCATTATTGCCTGAACCAGTTAACTGTCTATAAAAACAATGTCTTTCAGGATCTGTTTTAATCTGTTTTTTAACTCACTCTACTTAAATAAAATAAAATTGTCTCCACACAAAGCCGACACTTCCATTTCATCTACATGTTCCTGCAAGGGACGATCTGTCACTGCTGGGCTCTGAGATTCAGAGGACACCAGTCGAGACTGACAATGGCATGCCAACTCAATGGCTATGACGGGAATAATTAGATACAGTATGTGCACTTACTGTTTTGTTTCCCGCCAAACTTGTCCCTAAATGTGGATTCCACACTTTTTTTTTTTACCTTTTAAACACAGAGCTGCACCTTGTACATTTAGACATTGTGGTTCTAAGGTGTTCATAAACATATATCATTATCACAGTTATCTTACAAAGCAGCAAATAGTACTACTCCATAG